AGTAAATATCACCTTCATTATTAATTTTTAAAAGAATAGCATTCCCATCCAAATGAAACTTGCAAACATTTGGACAATATAGGTCAAGGTTGCAAAATAACTGTCCTTCCCTCTCTGTTGCAGCCCAGCTATGTTATTCAGCATCTATAATTAGTAAGTTTCTCCATCTGATCCACAGTGAAGGTGGTTTAGCTATAATGGTAGAGAGAAAATGCAGATGAAAATAAGTTGTTGTGACTACCTAATTTAATCCTACAAACCATTTCTCTTCCTGCTTATGGTTGTTATTGTTTTTGGTTTACAGGGACCGTGCCCCTTTTATTTTTACTTCAGAGATGGAGTACTTTATTACAGAGGGTGGAAAAAACCCACAGCATTTCCAAGATTTTGTGGAACTTTGCTGTCGAGCTTATAATACTGTCAGAAGGCACAGTCGACTTCTCTTGAACCTGCTAGAAATGGTAAGTCGTTGAGGAAAACAAAAATAATAAGCGTCATTTATGTCTCCTTTTTAGTACTCTGTTTTTGTTAATGGCTTAGAGTTCCCCAAAGAGCTATTCAATACAGAAAAGAATGAACAAACTAAGAGTATCATTGTGCAGCTTATAAGCACATTTCTTAATAATTCAATGCAAACTTATTGTCTCAAACATTCCTATTCTCAACAATATTGATGCATTCAGGGTTTATCTCCATACCTTTTGCCTAAAGATCAGGAACAGTAATTTTGAAAATAATGCCTTTGGTTGTACTGTGCCTTAGGATTTTTTAAAAGTGCTTTAAAAATACAGTCTCATTTACACACCAGTTAAGACAATGAGGTAAACTGGGCAAGGATTTATTTCTGGCTTTCTCTCCCAATATCTGCTTTTAATCCCTTGGCAATATTCTGGATTAAGAAACCAAGGGTCAAAAGCATAAAGTGACTTGTTAGTGACTCAGTTGGAGAGTAGCACATTTAGTAATATACATCACATCTACTGAGCAATGCTCCTATATCTCCTTTTGATCAACAAGAATAAATTAAATGTCTATCCCACTCCACTGTCCATCCCAAAGAGATAGAGACCAAATTTACAGGAAGAGGAATGGGAAATCTGATAGAAATATCTTCTAGAAGAGAGACGTAGTGATTCCTTTGGGCACATATTTATATACTGGTAATTGTAGCAAATTGTACAAGAGGAACATACCATGAACTCAATCAGTATAGAGTTTAGAGTCAATGCTATCATAAAAAAAATAACTGGTTTAGAGTCTGTTGTTGTTGTTGTTGTTGTTATGTGCCATCAAGTTGGATCCAACTCATAGCTACCCCTCCTTGGGTTTCCAAGACAGTATCACTACGGAAGTAGATTGCCCCATCTTCCTTCTGAGAAGTGGCTGGTGGGTTTGAACCTCCAGCCTTCTGGTTAGCAGTCAAGTGCCTTAGGCACTATGCTACCAGAGCTCCATAGAGTCTTTACATGACAGTAATTTTACTAGATGTTAAAAGCACAGGCTTAACAAAGCCTTATTGTGATTGAATCTTATCTTGACATAGTACTGGTTACATTCCCCAGGACATAGTACTGGTTACTTAACCCCAATACCACTATTTCCACATCCATTAAATGAATATAATAGCATCTACTTCATAGAGTTGGAGTGATAAATAAATGAGCTGATAGTGAGTGCTTTGTATGAGCCAGGCACTCCAGCTAAAGGCTTTATTAACTGACTAATATTTCATGAAAACCTTATTGAATAGTTAACGTGAACACTTAGCACTGTTACCTATCATACAATAGAGTTTAATTCATTTATTATGATACTGTTGTTGTTTGTATGTGTTGTTAGGTGCCATCTAGTTGGTTCTGACTCATAGCAACCCCATGTACAACAGAGAGAAACACTGCTTGGTCCTGTGCCAGCTTCACAATCCTTTTTTATACCTGAACCCATCGTTTCAGCCATGGTGTCAATCCATCTTGTTGAGGGCCTTCCCCATTTTTGTTGAACTTCCATTTTACCAAGCATGATATCCTTTTCCAGGGACTCATCCCTTCTGACAACATGACCAAAGCAGGTCAGACAAAGTCTTTCCATTCTCACTTCTAAGGAGCATTCTGGCTGCACTTCTTCCAGGACATATTTGTTAGTTCTTTTAGCAGTCGATTGTACTTTCAGCATTTTTCGCCATCACCACAACTCAAAAGTGTCAACTCTTCTTTGACCATCCTCATTATTGTCCAGCTCTCAAATCCATATAAGGCAATTGAAAATGTCATGGCTTGGGTTAGGTGCACCTTTGCTCTTAGAGATATCTTTGCTCTTCAGCACTTTAAAGAGATCTTTTCACCTGATTTTCCCAGTGCATTATGTCATATGATGTCATATTAACTTAAAAAAAAAAAAAAAAATCACTGCCATTAAGTCAATTCTGACTCATAGCAACTCCCTTTGGGTTTCCAAGGTGGTAAATTTTTATGGAGGTAGATTGCCCAGTCTTCCTTCTACAGAGTGGTTGGTGGGTATGAATTGCCAGCCTTCTGGTTAGCAGTCAAATGCCTTAGGCATGATGCCACCAGAGAGCACTATCCCATTCAGTATTCTCTAGTCACATGTAGTTATTTAAATTTAAATTAATTAATATTTAATGTTTCAAGATCTATCCTGAAGTACAATGCTGTCAGTGATAGGATAATATCCATATGCCTACAGAGAAGACCAGTTAATACTACTATTATTCAAATTTATACACCAACCACCAAAGACAAAGATGACCAAACTGAAGATTTTTACCAACTTCTGCAGTCTGAAATTGACCAAACATGCAATCAAGATGTGCTGATTATCACTGATGATTGGAATGCAAAAGTTGGAAACAAATAAGAATCACCAGTAGTTGGAAATTTTGGCCTTCGTAATAGAAATAAC